CTGCCTCGGTTCATCTCATGGTAAGGCCAGCCCTGCCCATTGTGCTAGGCACCATACCAACACAAAGAATCACACAATCCCTGCCCTAAAGAGTTTACAGTCAAAACAGACAAGACAGACACAGGGTCGGGAAAGGTGTGAAAGCATAGTGAACAATGTAATGGCAGCAAACACCATGTTGGTGCCATGATTTTTTTTTTTTAGTTCAGAGGGGATGAGCGAAAGGGAAAGGGGACATTGAAGTGGATGAGGGGGGCAGGATAGTGGAGAAGAGAGTAACAGGGGCAGGTATGAGGTGAAGCTGAGGTGAAGCAACTGTGAGGGAGGGAGAGGGTTGGAGCCAGTCAGCGAAGGGCAGAGAACGTCCAGTCAGAACTGTAGAAAGATCTCTGAATGCCCAAATGCCCCTGCTTTGGCTGCTTCAATGACTATGCAAGTGTTTATACAAAGTGGAACAGCTTCAACCAGAGAGACTGAGAGAAACACTTCAGAACTGAACCCAGGTCTCCCATATCCTGGGCAAGTGCTGTAGCCACTGGACTAAAAGTTAATAGGGAGGTGCCATCACCACCTCTTTCTCCTCGTTGTCTGGTGTTTCTTGCAAAACAAAAACAACACATCTTAGACACCTGACTCCAGGAGAAGGTTCACAGCTATGGATTCCAAGCAGAGATAGGTGCCTCCCTCCAGCCTGAATTTAGGCATTCAAGTCCCAAAGAGGGGTGGAGCTTAGAATACACCTTCTCATTGGCATCTGCTGTTGGCTAGCTTTGGCGGGGAGCCACCTAGCATGCTGGCTTTTGTGGATCCCCTTCTTAGGCACCTCTCTCTCCCTATTCGTTGTATAGGGAGCCTGGGTGCCTAACTCAGATTTTGTTGATTCCAGTGATTTTTCTAGGTACCTAAAAGTTATGCAGTCTCTTTGTGAATCTGGGCTTTTGTCTCTAGAGAGTAGTGAGAATCAATGAGAGAACCATCTGGTTCCAGTTGCAGTAGCACTGTCCAAAGTTACCCAGCGGTTTCCAAACCTTTCTAGCACTTATTCTTAAGAAGCATTAGACAAATTTTGCTCTGCTGAACTTCCCTGTGAAATCTTCCTCACTTGGTGGTTAGTGGCAAACTGCCTGTTAAAAGGAATCTTTCTGTCAAAACCACAGTAGTGGTCACAGATACCAGTCGTCTGGGCTGTGGGGCTCTGTGGGATGCAGGATGATTCAGAGGAAATGGTTATTTTGGGAGAAAAGAATGTATCAATGTTTTAAAACATGGGGTTCAAGAGGCAAGCACTATTAGCTTTCAGGGAGTCCTGCATAGTGAAACCAGTGGTATCCCGGGCAGATAAGCAACCAGTGCTGCATTATTTGAATAAAACAGGCACCTGCAGTATTTTCTTGTGGGAGGAGTCTAATTTTGTTGGGGAATCCAGTCACCTGATTGATGATCTGAGCTGTATTGCAATTCTCTCCACAGAGCTTCTTGCTACACTACTACTGCTGGCCTGGAGTTGGAGAGATTAATCCTTGTGCGTGAGAGCTTTTCCCTCTCAATTAGTTGACACTCTGCCTTCAGAGTTCAAGTACCACCACTGTTTGTTGGAGAGTATGGGAAATATTTTTCTTGGTGTCACTCCAAAGCCATTACCATTACCTCCTGCTCACATTCTGAGATTCTGGATTTAGTTTAAGATTGCTTTTCTGTCAGAATCCCTCAGAGCTATCTGAGTAAGGGTGTCTGGGCATCCAGTTGACTCATGTCCCTTAGTGATCAGCTGCCTTCAGGTAGTGTCTTTTAACAAGCCCTCGGGTTAGACACCTCATCCTCGTTGTCTGGATTATTCCTTCACTCCCTTGGAGTCCCTGTACTCTGTACACCAGAAAATGACAACTTCTTACAGTATTTTTCTTTGTTGCTGTGGTTCCCGTGAGAAGAGACAGTAACAGTTCTGTAGCTCTGTGTTTTCATCTTTTCCTTCTTATTTTAGACAGTGATGACAATTTTTTTTAAGAATTGCCCTTTTCTTCATTCCTATCCAAGACAAATCATCTACTTTCACCTCTTCCAGGAGGTGTGATGCCCAGCTATGGGCAGCCTTGCCTAGTGGTCAGGGCAGGAGGGCAGCCTAATGGTTGGAACAGGGACAGCCAGGCCTAGTGGCCTGAGCCAGGAGCCAAGTTATCAAACCTGGGGAGCGAGCCGGAACCGAGAGCCAGAAACCAGGAGCCAAGGGTCAGAGCCGTGTTCAGAAATTGAATGCCAAGTCCAGGGAGCGAGCAAGAGCCAAAATTCAGGAGTCAGAGGTCGGAACTGAAGTATCAACCCAAGCAGGAGCAGGAACAGGAGCCAGGAATGGGAACTGGGAGCAGTAATCGGGCACTAGGAGCAGGAGGAGTCTGGAGAAAGGGCTAGGAGCAAGGGGGAGCTGAGAACAGGACCAGAATGACAGCTGCAACCATGGAATGTTATGGAGCAGCCGGGGACCCAGGCCTGTTGCAGAGTTTAAAACTGTGCCTGCTGAAGTCTTCGGGCAATCAGGAGGCCATGTTCATCAGCAGAATCAGCTGAGGGCCATGAGTAGGGGCTGGGTAGGTCTTTGGAAGGCGGTAATATTACTCAGGCTTTGTTCTTCCCTTTCTAACAACCAGGAGTGCTTCTGGCACACACTTGGTGTCAGCCTGCAAAATTTTATCCTAAAAGAACCAAGGATTTTCAGTCTTTCAACCAATTGCATTTTTCATGGTAGGGTTCTAGGAGGAGTACAAAAGCCTCTAAGTTTACTTATGCCTCGGCTCATGGAGCTTGTATTTTGGAGTCGTAGTTGGCTGAAGGCCCTGGATATGATCTCAAAGACAGTGACTGCTGTTTGGGCCATGAGCACTGTGTGGAAGCCTTAGTCAAATTTTGACTTTCTAATTCTCTTTAACCATTTCTGCACTTTCCCACCAGGCATTACAGGGCTGAAATGTTTGCATTGGCAGATGCAGGTTTTCACCACACAGGGCTTGCCTGCACTTGCAATGCTACAGTGGCACATTGGTATCGGTAATCCTCCTCCCCAAGAGGCGGTAGCTTGGTCGACAGAAGGATTCATCCATCAACCTAGTGCTGTCTACACCAGGGATGAGGTCGGCTGAACTACATCACTCTGAGGGGTGGCTTTTTCACACCCCTGAACGATGTAGCTGGGTCGACTTAACTTTTTAATGTAGACCAGGCCACAGTGCTGACATCAGAGGGGTGACTCTTCTTGACACTTTACTGTCTGATTGCTTTGTTTCCCACATACTGCCTCTCTCTTGTCACGCTTGTCTTAATTGAAAACTGGGTTGTGTTAGAACACGACCCTGAGGCGTTGTGTTAACTAATACAGTGTTAAACATGACTTTGCAGGCAGTGAAGACAGGGACAAGTAATAGTAAACATCCTGTCCAGTGATTGTGGTTAACCCTTTGGTTCCAGTAGAGTTTACTCATGTCCAGAAAAAACTATGTAAAACACAATGGTCCTCCCTGTCTCCACTCACTGCAACAGCATGTTGAGCATCACATTAGTTAATATGTCTGCAAGGTTGTGTTCTAACACAACCTAATTTTCTAGTGAAGACAAGTCGTACAGGACTCCCTGACAGCTCCGAAGAATCCCAGACGTTAGTACCAGACACTTCAGAAGTTAGGATTTCCTCTGTAAATGTTGTTCTTGTATTTCATTCACCAGTCTGAAATGACACTCTCTGGCAGTGTTGATTTTTCACTTACTTGTGATACACAAGTGCCTGATACTTTAAAACTTGATCCTGCTGCCATCTACATCAGTGGCAAGACTCCCAGTATAGAGAAGCAGGCCCACAGGTAGTTAGTGTTTTAGGGTTAGTGTTATTTTTCTTGTACCTTTTAAGCACTGTGAGATTAACTTGTTGTTTACTTAGGAGTAAGAGCTATTTCTGCTTGATGGATCAAATTCACCACTGGTGTAAGTGGGTGCAACTATTTAAGTCAATGGAATTTCCACTCATCCACTTACCCCAGCAGTGAAACTGGCCTGTTGCATTCATTTTTGTGGCTTTCCATTTTAACATTTCTCTCTTTTTTTAGTGCTATGGAAGCATTGCCTTGGTATTTAGGAGAGAGAGGGCAAGATCAAGAGTGGTCAGCTGTTGACAGTTTGCAATTGACAATTGCAGTGTTGATGTAATTTGACTGGTGCTGCTTTATATCGCTCATATGACAGGAGTGACACGGTGACACTCTCTGGACAAAGATACAGAAGCATTCCTTACAAATAAAATTGTAATTTAGCAAAGTGAATAATGAACAGTAATATCAAAACTCCTCAAGGGGTCAAAATAAAATGTTCTGTAATCACATTTCCTGTAATAACAAATCAGTAAAATGAGAAAGTGGAGGAGCTAAAAGGAATTAAAGTTTTCTTTCCAATAACCTTGTTTCCAAATGAATCTGTCAACAGAGAAGACTGTGCCTTCCCCAGTGATTACAGCAGACTCTGCAGGAGGAACTGACAGCCAGTCAAAGCCAGCCTGGATTACTATAGCAAGACAGAAGCACAGGGACATTCAACAGGAGCCAGAGCCTACTAAAGAAGAGAAACTTGTGGCTCAAGATGTTAAGTCAGACACAGAAAAACAAAATAAGGAGAAGAAAAGAATGGAGGTGCTTACAGGCAAACTTGTTTAATGCTTTTGTGTAAACTTGCTGTTGCATTCTTGGTTTGGATCAGTTGCTATTAAATAATTCTGTAAAAATCTAATTATTATTGATACTTAATTACAAAGGCTCTGATCCTGCAAACACTTGTACACGTGCATAGTCCCATGACTACTCTCATGAATAATTTTACACGTGAGTGATTGTGGGATTGCTCCTTGAGTGTAAAATTACTCATCTGCTTAAATGCTGGCAGGATCAGGCCTAGCTTTGTGTATATATACACATTGACTGATGTGGTAACTTCTGCAATCCCTACTGAGGGAATCTGTTCTTTTTGTGTGTATTTAAAAACCCCACACACATTTCATAGTAATCCAAAATCTCAGCGATTTAAGCCTGACAGAACAGCTTGGTTTCAAAACTGCCTCGCCAACAATTTTCAGGGTCTGGAGAAATGAAATAAGGTAAAAATAACTTTTCTGTTTGACACTCAGTGACAATACCAAGATCTTGTGAAGACCACGTCTATAACAGGGTTCAAAACAGAAGTAGATAAGTTCATGGAGGATAGGTCCATCAATGGCTGTTAGCCAGGATGGTGTCCCTAGCCTCTGTTTACCAGAAGCTGGGAATGGGCGACAGGGGATGAATCACTTGATGATTACCTGTTCTGCTCATTCCCTATTGGGCTCCTGGCATTGGCCACTGTCAGAAGACAGGATACTGGGTTAGATGGACCATTGGTCTGACCCAGTATAGCCGTTCTTATGTTCTTATATATGTTCTTATGATCTAGATTTTGGCTCTTTGTACTGTGATAAATCAGATTTATATGTGATGGTGACACTGGATATTAGCTAGCATTGCCTCTTAGAAAACTCATGCTAAATAATTCCTTACATGAAGCTCTCTTGATAGAAAGTGAGGTTAGTGTATTGTATTCTAAAGTTTTAAAAGAGGCCTCTCTATAGGATGACAAATGATAAATAACAGCAGTGTGATTAACAAGAAATGTTCCCTAATGATGTGTCCAGATGAGATTATAAACCATAATAAAGTTTGTACACGTTCACGACACTTAAAACACAGAGGGTCAAATCATCCCCTATTTGAGAAATTCCCTCCTAAGGGCCAGGAATCTCCTGATTTCAAGTTGCATTGTATCCTGCAGATTGTGCCATGTAGATTGGTTCCATACAACAGCTAAGGGATGTGACCCTTCTAGCCCATAGGTACCCCAAGATCCTGCTGACCACAGGGCATGAGGCTCAGTGCCACTGCACTGCTCCCATTATCTCTGTCCCACATGGTAACAGGGCTCCTTCCAGAAACATACTACTTTACCATGGATTCCCACCATGGAGGAGTTTCACTGGACAATAGGGGAACCCAAGGAAGAGTATGCAGACATGATCAGCATTGCCTTCCTTAAGGAAATCGATGAGGATCTGAAAGAAATGGTGCCTCAAAGAACATCTAACCCCAACCCTAGCCTCCTCCACCACCACAGAGCTCTGAATTCTCAGAGTTGGGGAGAAGAAAGGGAAACATATTGTGAAGCCACAACTCCCGCAGTGTGCACCACAAACCATTTTCTGACAGGCATGGCTCCTCTCTATTCACATTAGCAGAGGGATGCATATGGCTGAGAATAAATTTGCAGTGAAAATAACAATCTTCTGCAATCACTGTTGTAAATAAGACAAAATACAGAGGCACTTTTTTAAATTGCAAAATTAGAGTCCTGGAAACAAAACTCAAAATGTTAGAACTTTATGAACTGGTGATAACTTGAGTGAAATAAATGGAACAAGTGTGTGACAAGACTTTTTCATTGTTATGCAGGAGCATCTTGTTCACTCCTGTGTTGTTCATGTTCTTTTAAATTCCCACTATTGTTCTTTCTCGCTGAACTGTTTAAAACATTTTTACCTGCTTTCCCCCCCCCCCCATGTAATTAGGGGTCAATGAAGCAACAAGCAGACTTCATCAGGAGCAAACCTTCACATTTAGCACCTAAAACTTCTTCTGAAGAACAGAGGAATGAGACAAAGTCTGACGTGAACGAGCCACTGCCAAGAGCCAACTCGCTGTCGCATCATGTCCCTGGTATGAAAACAAATGCTTGAAATACTGATGTAGATTCCAATCCTGCAGGCTCTGAAGCATGTGGATGACTTTGCTCATATGAGCAAAATTACCCATGTGCTTAAGTGTTTGCAGGATCCATGCCACAGTAACTTGTCTCTTTCCCACTTCTCACTGGCTGCAGTGAGAGCAAGAATTGTAGTTGTTTCTTTAACACTAGTTTCCACAGTTTTATTTCAAGGAATGCTGCTTATAATGGGCTAATTCTGTAGCAACCTCAATTCTCATTGAAAGCAATGCGAATTGAGGGCATTGGACACTTCACAGGATTGGGACCTAGAAGCATTGCCCCCATTAGAGGAAGTCAAGTGCATTCAAATGATGCATTTGATCTAGAGTACAATTTTAATTCTTTGCTAATGCACTGTAGAATAAGTTTCCATGTGGAATGTAAAGCTTTAATTTTGTAGGACAATGTACTGTTTTAAAGAAATAGGTGAGGTCTATAGATGAGCATCAAGCTAACATAATGTATATATATTTTTTTCACAATAGCTCAATCCTCAGTGCTGACAGAGAAAGAAGAAATGAACCAGTTTAAGAAAGTCAGTCACTCTGCTCCAGATCAGCCATCATGGATGGAACTTGCCAAAAAGAAATCCCAAGCTTGGAGTGATATGCCACAGATTATAAAATAGGGTGATACATCTCAGACCAATAGTATATGCTATTTTGGATAATTCAGTAGTCCACGTAATTGAACTTCTGTAGATTAGTTAATCACAATGAAGAATCTATGGTACGTCAGAAGGGTTTTGTTATAAAGCTTTGAAAAAAAGAGTGCAATAAGTGCCATCAACAAGTTCACCGTAAACCATCTGTAGCAATCAGGATGGTACTAGAAATGGTTTAAGAATAATCTACTTTAAGGACATACCCACCAACTTAGAAAAACATTCTGCCTATATACATTGTGTATTCCCCCCAATTAAATTTGCATAAAATGAGTATTTTTGTTAAATCTTGTTGAACTTTTTGTTGCAAACATTGTTACACCGCTCATTATCTATTTGTGTATTGTCCACTATCAGATCATGATAATATAAATCTGTTTTACTGGTGTTATCTGACAGACACTCTTTAAAGATGCTTGGGCCAATGAGGTATTCATGACTTGTTTTTATTGAGTACTCTATCAGATATTCAGAATTTGCTGTTTGAACTGTGTGATTGGTTAGCTGAGTCACATGGTATGGTTTCTGTCTTCTGATTTAATTCCTGAGGCATAAATAAACTTGTTTGTGCATGAAAATTAATAAAAATTCCTCCTGAAATACTTGCCTGAACAAAACTGGCTGCACAAACGGGCACAGAAAAGCAGAGGAAACAAATGTGTTCGGATTGAATTGGAATCCCATGTATGTATTCATGAATGCTCGTGTCTAGAATTCACCCAGATGCGGGTGTTCTGTTTTTTATGGGAATTCATCATGTTGGTTTGTGGAACCATATTTAGTGGCAATGGATCTGTTTATGATATCAAAGATGAAGATTATGAATTCAGATAAAGATTAACGAGTCAGGGTATGGGACTTGTTGAGCCCAAACTCAAATGTTACAAAACCAGGAACAGAACAGTTAAGGTGCTTCTTCAAATACAACACAACCTCACAGCCTTAACTCTGCCCTCATCTGAATGGCAAAAGGGAGTGGGAATAGCACAGTATGTTTACAAGCTGTAAAAATACTATTTTAATTGTGCCCACTGCTACTCCAAATCAGGATCCCTGTTTATGCAGTTTCATGGGCACCTCTGCTGGTTGTGTAGCAACATTGACACGGGGAAGTGGTTGCTGCTGGTTGGTAGAGATCACGCTGACCTTATTGTACTTCCTCTCTTCCTGCTGTACAATCACAAAGAACCTAACAACAATCCATTAGGAAATTTCCTAAAATTAGAATCCTGCTGTTAAGGGAAACACTCTCTCCTCCCATAAAAACACTAGGGCAGCGGTTCTCAGACTGTGGATTGGGACCCCAAAGTGAATGGTGACCCCATCTTAATGGGGTCACCAGAGCTGAAGCTTCAGCCCTGGGTGGTGGGCTCAGGTTACAGGCCCCTTGCCTGGGGCTGAAGCCCTTGGGCTTGGGCCCTCCACACCCAGGACAGTGGGGCTTGGGCTCCAAACTGCCCCAAAATTGTTTGCATGAGCAACCTTCACTCTGCCCTTTGTGCTTGTGCATTTACAATATAGTCTTTAATCACGAATAATAATCACTCATTTCTCAAATCATAGAATATAAAATCACAGTATATTCTACAGTTATTTCTTAAACGTATTGTAAGACACTCTCTAATATAAACAGATACACTTTTTAGGTACCGTAATACAATCTTAAAAAGCCCCAAAAACTAAGTAAGAAATAACTCATGAAATCACAATGCGAAGTTTATTTAAGGTACTGCATTACAATCTGTATAATTCTTTAAATAAACCCTTCCACGTTAAAGGGAAAATGTAAAACATAAAATTAAATTTAAAAAAATCTATCTTATCCTTTGATTATTGCCTGTTTAGAGCCTCACTGAAGAGTAGAATGTTTTCTGGTAATTAACTTGAACTAGAGTTAATGGTATGTTATATTGCTTTAACGTTTTCTCGCTGTTATAAATTATTTAAGATGTATCTGATCTCAACTGAATTTCTGGGGAGTGAGCAATGCAACTACATGGGACAATTCCAAATATCTTTAAGGAAATTCTCTGTTTGACAGACAAAGGTTCAAGATAAAGGAGATTATTAATAGAGTGATCTAGGGTTTCCTACAAAATATTCTGGGCCTCACAAACATACAAAGAATGGACCCCATACATAGTTTTGAGAGATGAGCAAATGCAGCTGTCTTATACCTTCCCACAAAGTGCAGCCCTAACTCTAATGTGGGCCTGATCTTGCCACCTCCGGGATGAAATCCTAGCCCCATTGAAGTCGGTGTGAATTTTGCCATTGACCTCAGTGTGGCCAGGATAGCATCCTTTATGTTCAATACTCTCACTAACTTGACTTTGCCAGGAACAGTGACAATTGGCTGCTATGGGCCTGCTTGTGGATCCACTGAAATCAAGCTAAAACTTCCAGTGATTTCCATGGGAGTGAGCTCTGGTTTTACAGGGTGGTCAGTACTATATGATACGTGCTCAGACCTTAAAGGATTAGTCCATCAGAATGGCATAAATTTAAGTATCTCAAATGTAGGGCCTGATTTTGCTTCAAATAGGTTATTGTATCAATATTATCCTGTGCTGGAGTTCCTTTATTTTAAATCAAAAGGTCATGTGACTCTGCAATAGCCAATTGCTGAACAGTCACTATTGTCCACCAACATGGGAAATAGTGCAAAACTATTTCAGATCCTGCATATTTTCTCTCAGACAAATGGATTGTACTTGGCAATCCCAGGATGTAATACAAATGTATTTAGGCAAACTGATGTATGGTTTATATTCTTGACTGTGTGGAAAGAACTGTGATCAATTTTTCTGTAGATGCCATTGTACTTTTCCAGCCCAGAAGCAATATGACTGACTCAACATGATCCATTTTGCTCAACTGCACAAGTACAATACAGTAGCAAATCTACTGAAATAATATTGGAAAAACCAAGGTTAATTCATGGCCTTTTCACATAATTTAACTAAAACTGTATTACTTTAAAACAAACAAACAAAAGGAAAAAAAATATGGAGGTGAAGACCAGAAATCCTTAAGAGCTTTTTTCCTCTCCCCAAAGTGATGGACCATATGTTGTTTAAAACCAATTCCTCTGCTTACTGTTTAATGATCAAGTTCAAGTTTTGGAGGTGTTATCACCCTCAATGCGAAAGTACTGCATATAGTGTAAATGAAATTGTGTACTGTATGTTTCTGAATGCAGAAAACTGTAGATTTTTGTGACTTAAACAGTGTTTACTATTTTACTTATTGTAATACTATAATATATCTTAACTTTTAGCTCAGGAATTTTAAGTAAAAAATCACAACTAAACAATTTTTAATGTTGTATAGCAAAATGTAATAAATACATTTTTAAGGCTAAAACATCTCTCTGGACTTTACTTCAAAATGGGGTTGTGCCGTCTGTTGTGTTTAACAGAAAAAACCTTTACAAAATCTGTTCTTTTTTTTTAGAGACAAATAGATATTTAAAGTCTTATCAGTAAAAATGTTCAACAGTAGTTGAGCAAACAGCTTGTTATTTTGTGATACCATTAATAGCCTGTTATTCTCAAAGAGTATAATAAAATTGCCACCATGTTTGCTTCATATACATGATGAGCACTCTATTGTGGGAGACAAGGGTTTAATTACAGGACTCTGTTTTTATGGTTGTAACTTTACAGGTTTGTACTGTGAAAAAAACAAGCAACTCTGAGAAGATTTGGCAGTGCAGTACCTTCCATAGAATCCTAGGGTGAAATTCACCCATTTAGTGAACCAGAATAAGGTCTGTGTACTATTTAAGTCCTCAAAATAGGGACGTGCTGGCCACTGCTTCCAGCAGCTCCCATTGGCCTCGAGCAGCAAACTGTGGCCACTGGGAGCTGCGATCGGCCAAACCTGCAGACATGGCAGGTAAACAAACCGGCCCGGCCCCCCTGGGGCTTTCCCTAAACAAGCGGCGACCCAAGTTAGGGAAACACTGTCCTAGATGATTGATACTTGCCTACACTGAGATATAGCAACATTGTTTACTCATGTGATTGGTCCCCTTTAAATCAATTGACTATCTGCATGAGTAAGTGCCCAATGTGAGTAAGGGTTTCAAAATCATCAAATAAACTTGCATTTCTTCACACCTTAGAAGTGAATGAATTGGACACCCAAGTTCATCCCAACCCCAGCTCTGGCAGGTGTCTCTCCTGGACTAATGCCACCTCCAACCTCATTTGTTTCCACCCAAATAGATAGTCCCATTAAACAAGAGTCACTATCAATAAGCATGTCAAAAACTTTGGCCAAAGTAGCTAAATGAGCCTATGTCAATAAACCAACCGGAATTTGTATCGTGTATTGAAAGGAGCAATGGAAAGCATCCACGGTGATAACAAAAGGATTTCAGCCAATCACAGCTCAGAAAAAAACACATGCTGGCCACTCGGTGTGCTGGATGGAGAGGTGGCTTCTGCACTTTTGGGGGAGGGATAGCTCAGTTGGCCTGCTAAACCCAGGGTTGTGTGTTCAGTCCTTTAGGGGGCCATTTAGGGATCTGAGGCAAAAATCTGTCTGGGGATTGGTCCTGCTTTAAGCAGGGGGTTGGACTAGATGACCTCCTGAGGTCCCGTCCAACCCTGATATTCTATGATTCTTTTCTCAGCTAAAATAACTTTGAGGTCCTTATTAACTCATTGGACCTTATTCAATGCTCCCTGTGCAGGAGTGAACTGCTGTGGGCGTGTTGCCTGCACAGACAAAGGAGTAAAGAATAGGGCCCCAAGTATGTCCAATTTGGCCCCTCCTTTGAACAGTTATTCACTCTTTTTTATTCACCTGTAGCATTTTGCATATTCTTAGAATAGCACTGGAAGGACACATTTCAGCCTTCCCTGCAAAAACACAGAGTAACTGTATGCATGCGAATACAATCTTCCTGAGTTTGTAAAGTTACTCACGTGCATAAATGTTTGTAGGATTAGGCCCTTTCTTTGGAACATGCCTTTATTTACAGTGGTTCATTCTGACTTTTAAGTAAGAATGACTAACACAAAGAAAGCAGTAGGTAGATAGCTGTAATAGTTCAGGAGGGCAATGTGTAAACAAGCTAATGAGATGGATGCAAAGGAGAATACACACTCTCCTACAGTTTATTCCTCCCAGCCAATAAAATACCAATGGAAAATCCAAAGCAACATCATCATCCTCTTTCCAATACCCAGAAGTGAGGGAAAAAACAACACTATAAGTTTAAAAAGAAAGAAGAAAAGAACGTGAGATGATATGGCCAATTGCTTCTGGCTTAACAGAGCATCGTCTCAGTGCAGCAATGCTTCCTTGCAGGCTTCTTTCCCTTCCTATGTTGTTATTACTTATTTATTATTTGTATTACTATAACACCTCGGAGCCCCAGTCATGAACCAAGGCCCCACTGTGGTAGGCACTGTGCAAATATTGAACAAAAAGACAGTCCCCCAAACAGCTTACAGTATAAGTAGACAGAGACAACAGATGGTTACAGACAGACCAAGAGGGGGAGAACAAGGACACAATCAGACAATACTGGGCAGCATGATGGGCAGTGGCCTAAGCACACCAGCAGCCTAAACATTGTCAAGGTTTTTGTAGGCATCACAACAAAGGAGAGTTTTAAGGAGGGAGGTGAAGTGGATTTGCTGATGTTTACAAGGAGCTCCTCCCTAGATTGTCCTGTGTTGCTTTTTCCATTTTCCTGATGTGATGCCACAGTCCCGCAGTAGGCTGCCTGTTGCTGAATAGTAGCTTTATTTCTTTAAAGTCTGATTCAGACATTGAGCATGTTCCATTAGGGAAGAAAGAAAACAGGACAATAACTATCTGAGGCAACTGGTTTCAAAACACCCTTGGTGGTGAATAGTACCTCCAGAGAGATTCCTGGTTTTTTAGTTTACTTTTGACCCCACATTTTCCCTGTAGACTATTTGATTACAGTGGGGTATAGAATTTAAGTTATCTTGAAATCATTGATAGCAGATCAGGGCAGATAGACCTTGCTTTGATCTATTTTACTGAAGAAGTAGTAAAGCAGGGTGTGATGGGGTGTATCCTGGAGGCCTCTCGGTCCTACCACACCCCAGAAAAGGAGTAGTGAAGGTGGGTCCTCCAGGCCTGCCTCGAAAGGCTGCAGGGAAACAGCCAATCAGAGCGCAGCAGGCCCAGTTAAAAGGAGCTGCAGGGCCTGGGCAGCTCAGTTGCTGGTTGGGACCAGAAGGGTGAGAAAAGAGAGAAGGTGAGATTTTTTTTCAGCCCTGCAGTAAGGGTAAAAACAAAGGGGCTATGTGGGAAGTGGCCCAGGGAATAGCAGCAACAACTATTACAGAAAGCAGCATATAGCTGCTATTTATAGGGTCTCTGGCCTGGGATCCAGAGTAGTGGGCAGGCCTGGGTCCCCTCACAGGCCACTAGTAGGGTAGCCTAAGCCCTGAGAAGGGGATAAGGCTTGTTTAGAGACCCAAGCATGGGTACTGACTTTTCCTTTTTCCCAGGGGTGCTCAAACCCCACTTTGCCCCAAGGCCCTGCCCCCTCCCCCAAGACCCTGCCCTTGCTCTGACCCCTCCCCCAAGGCCCCACCTTTGCTCTGCCTCTTCCTACCCCCATTCTGCCCCCTCCCCAAGGCCCTCCATCCTCTGCTCTCTGCCCTCCCCTAAGTCCCTCCCTGAGCTACCAAACAGTTCTTGGGCAGTGCTTCTGCCCCCATGCATCAGCTGTCAGGCAGTGGTGTAATGCCCATCAACTGTTGGTGGCAGCAGTGGTGGCTCCCCCATCAACTGATGAGTGGTGCTGGGAATAGCTGTGGCCGGTGGGTGCTGAGCATCCACTATTTTTTTTCTGTGGGTGCTCCAGCCCTGGAGCACCCACAGAGTCATCATCTATGGGCCCAAGTGAAGGGCAAGACTTAGAGGCTCCAGGGAGAAAGCCCTGGGGGCACTGCTCTATACCAGGGCAGACACAGACTTAAAGCTAGTGCAGAAGGGACTGAGGACTGAGGCCAGAGACAGGGCTAAAGCCGATAACAAGGGCACCGGGACAGGCCCCGATGGACCTTTTCCCCAGAAGGGGTTCCTTCACATGTTTAGGCTGTGCATAACTGGGCTGGAAGGCTGAGCCACTGAAGAGCCGACTGACGAGGTTAATGGCTGACGAGGCACCATGAGCAGAGAGAGTGCACGTTTGCACCCCTCAACAGGAGACACTCGTGAGAGGTGATTGTGCACCATTATGGGGGGCACTTCAATCTTTTATTCTCTTTACAGAATGGTACTATTCACAGTTTGAGTTCATTTATGTGGAGTTAAATTTTGATTTTATATGAGAAAATGGAGATCAGAAGGTCAGTTATATGAAAAAGCAAATTTAGCCTAGTTTTTCCAGGTGTTTTTCCCTGTTCTAGCCTGGTGGATAATTTCCTTGGATCAGGTTTTCTAGATAAGTCTCTCACCCAGTTCCTGTTTGATATGACTGCAGCTGGAGTGCTCTGGAATAGTAACGCTCATATTGACCCTTAAAAGTTACCCCAAGGATACAGGACAGGAAGCGAAGGTTTCTTTGCCTGCGTTCTGCAGCCTGATGAGAACAGCAATTACTCTAAAAATAAAGATGTCTTATAAGTCTCCTTTAACAAGATAGAGCTGAAGGTAATAGGTGAATTTAGAAGAAGGTGGGAGGACATGAGATTGTTTGCAAGAGTACTGAAATGCTGCTAAAGCATGAAGTCTAATTTAGAAAAGAAAAAAAAATCTCCATTGCTGATAAATAAGATAACCTTTGAGTTTTATGCTTCAGCCCAGATGCTGATGATTGATTTCAATACAGTTGTTCAGTATTTACACAGGTATAAATTAGATCAGAATCTGATTATCTATATCAATGACAAATTATGTAAATAATTCTGTGGATTAAACCTTTCTCAGATAATCACAGTAGCTTTTAAACTCTGTGTCCTTGGCTAACTCTTTAATTTAATTT